CCCACCCCGATTTGAAGGGGAGAGGAACCCCAAGACGGCAAACATCATGGTCACAAGCATCATACCGAAAAACTGTACACCAGTTCCAACATAGACACAAAGCAAATCCGAGTTACTTGGAGGCCTGAAAACATCTGAATGGACTAGTTTCCATCCTGTTTCTTCCTGTGCCTCCTCCTGGGTTTCCAGTTCATTATACTTGGAAATGTCACGATAAAGTGTTCTCAACATTATCATCGCCACCATGCCTGATAGGAACAGCACAATCATTAAAGAATTTACTATCGAGAACCAGTGTATCTGATCATCAGCCATCAATAGATAGGCATCCCATCTTGAGGCCCACTTCACATCACTCTCCTGCAATACAAACCAGAGAATCATACAAAATGTGTTTTATATAATACCAAAATCCCCTATAAATCTCAAAAGGTTAAACTGAAAAATGATAACATATAAAATTACAAAAAAGACTAGTAACCTCTCCCTCCATCCCAAAATAAGTCACCTTAGCAAAAAAATTGTCCCAAAATACTTGTCACCTTAGAAATTCAAGAAAAAAATTACTGCAGTATTTTTTCTAACTATATCCTTATACTCCAACTTTTAAACAGTGTTAAATTTTCAAGAGATATTCATTAAATAGGGGTAGTTTAGTAAACTACACATTGTATTTATTGATTTCTTAATGAACACGATTTTTGCTAAGGTGACACTTCGTTTGGGATGGAGGGAGTATCACATTGAGTGGCCATATCTAACAAGATTCGATAAGTTACCTGGAATTCAACATCATATGTAAATATGATTTCTTGGTTAGCCTCAACCTCTTGAGGAGAATTTGAGTTAGATACCGTCCGTTTTGCATGTGGATCACATGTTGTTAAACGAGTATTGTCAGCCCATTTGCCATCATATTCATGCTTAACACTGGAAATATTATCAGCCATATCAGTTCTTTGGCACCAAAAGATTAAAAAATAAGAGCAAGTGAAATCTTACACATTACATTATGCCTCAGCCTATAAGTGCAGACAGAAATATGAGTAGCCTTAAAAACAAACCTAAATGGCATGACCTCAAATCCCACAATTCTGGCCGAGTCTGTCTGCAAATCTTTATGGTACTTAACAGCAAATGTCAAGTGGTTATGGATGAAATGCTTCTCGTCCTTGCTCTGCAGGCAATCACACAGAGACAAATCAGTAGACCATAATGAAATTTAGCTCTACTACATATAAAAATCAGTTCTACATCGTGTTATGGGAAGTAAAATAAAATTCCTTACTCCAGCATATTGTCCTTTTACACCAATATAAACTCCCTGTTGATAGGCAGGAGGGGCTTCTTGCTCTAACCTCCGAACTGGAACAACTAAAGGCAGATTATCTAGTATCCTGACACATGAATCCAGAAAATTGTTAGGAAGAGTAATTAAGAAGAATATGATCCTTGTAAAAGGCCGGAAAATGACACTGTTTCCTCAAGAGAATAATTGACCTACATGTTCACACGATATTCGTCTTCAATTTTTTCTTTAAATTCCTTAGCTTTCTTGTCATCAAGTACAAGCCTACAAACAACATGACACATCTCTGGCTCCCTCATTTTAAACTGCAGTATAAACATACATCTAAAAGAAGTCAGTTATCATAAGATTAAGTCAATAAATCAAGTGATGAAGTAGATGAAGCTGACCGTAAAAGGGGAGTTCTCAATTCGATCACCACGAAGCACTTCTCCAAGATTTTCTCTGCTATCAATGATATTTTCTGGACGACAGAAAGGAACAGAATAGAACGAATAAGGAAGCTGAGTCTTTGTAGAGGTCAGCTTGTTCACTTTCACAGACAGAAGATCTCCCTGCAACAAACATCGTCACCTTCCAGAGTCAGAAAAGCCTATGCATTCCCTTCTTTTAGGGTTAAGAATAAACTCCCAAATGATTTTAAAAAATAAACTCACCCTGCCCAAGAACATGTAAAAGAACTTTCACACAACAAGATCTATAAACAATTTATCCAGCTTGCACTACTCACCAATGAAACAAATAGGTGCCTAATTTTTTCGGGCATAATCTGACCTAGATATATGTGAGGTGACCCAACAAGTCTATATAATCTGCTTATACACAACTATAATTCTTCTGAGGGAATTCTTCATCAAAAACAATTCTTCTGCATCATTGTGTTCATTCTCTCTCTTCATTAAGCAGAATTGGTGTAACTATGCCTCAATGCCATGGCTATTCATTCTCAGCTTTCTTGCAATAGTTTTTCCTTATTCATTCAATTGGTGAATCCAGATGGTTTTAAATTCAACATCTCACCAATCAAGGTAAATATAAATCATCAAACCCAATTAGATTCTACTACAGTAGCCACACATACATGCAAATCAAAGCACCAAAATTTAACACAAAACCATACCTAGACCCCAACAGAGATCTGTAAACCTAACACAAATCAAACAGTAAATAACCTAACAAAGCATTTAATACACACACACTCACTCCCTTAGACAGGATATTCAAACACAGTAATTTAAATAAAAATGTTTGACACTTTGCTTCCAGATATTCAAACAAAAATAAACTTTCAAGTTCCATCAACAATTTAAAATGTGCAGTTTTCACCACTTTGACAACCGCTTTGGTGCTAGAAGAATTCATCACTTGGTAATTTATATGCTGCTTCGAAATATCCACATTTTTATATTTTTAAAAGTGATTAATCTAGCAGATCTAGCTTCAAACCTAAGTCAAGTTACCTCTTGATATCTGAAAATAACAACAAAAAAGGCTCCTGCATTTTGTGCACCCACATGCATAAACACTTTGATACGAGAAGAATTGCATTGTATATAGTAATTAATACGCAGATTTGGAATATCTACATTTTTATTAACGCGTAGTCCCGTGCACAAAGCATCCCATGTTAGCAGGGTCTGCGGAAGGCTGCCGCCCCGAGGGGTGTGATGTAGACAATCAACACTAATGCAAGCATTAATGACTACTTCTAGGTCACACGAAGGCAACTTTACCGTTTCTCCACGGCTCCCCTATTATCTACATTTGTGATTATAAAAAAAAAGTGATAATCCAATCAATCTAGCTTCAACCTTCAGCCAAATTGCCTCATGAAATCCGAAACTATCAACAAAAATAACAATGCACCTCCATTTTGTGCACACACATACATGAAACATCTTCGTACAAGAAGAATTGCATCTTATATAGTAATTTATACGTAGCTTCGGAATATCTACATTTTTTATTTTCCAACCAGAGATTAATCTAACTGATCTAGCTTCAAAATTTAGCCAAATTGCCTCATGAAATCCCAAAACAACAATGCACCTCAATTTTGTGCACACACATACGTAAACATTTTGATACGATAAGAATTGCATTGTATATAGTAATTTATACGCAGCTTCGAAACATCTACATTTCCATTTTTCCAACAAGAGTGATTAATCTAGCCGATCAAGCTTCAAAAATTAGCCAATTTTCCTCATGAAATCCCAAAATAACAATGCACCTCCATTTTGTGTACACACATTAGAAGAATTACATTGTATATAGTAATTTATACACAGCTTCGGAATATCTACATTTTTTTATTTTTCCAACAAGAGTGATTAATCTAACCGATCTAAATTCAAACTTTAGCCAAATTGCCTCATGATATCCGAAAATAACAATGACACACATACGTAAACATGAAGAAATTTCGAGAAAAAATGCTGACCTTTTGGAAATCTTCAGGCGCAACACCGGGGAGGTAGAAAGAGGAGGCATTGTGGAATGTAAGCAGAAGAGAAATAGCGCAAATCAATGAAGGAATTAGCAGAGATCGCCGAGCTCTTCCCATGGTGAAAAATGGCGTTTAGATTTGGGAATTGGAGTTTCTTCAGATCCAAAAAAAATACACCGAGACCAGCGTTTTTTGCTATATAAATGCGTTTTTCAGGGTCCCACTTGGTGAAAAAAAAGTACTCATATATTTTTTTAATTTAATAAAGTATTTGTTTAGAATCGCGATAAATTTGACCTGTGAAAGATAGTATAGTATAATTCTGTATACACTATGCAATCAAACTTTTCTATAATAACATTATTGAGTTTGAGATTCTTGATTGTTTGTAGTGACGAGCGACGAATGACGAATGACGAATGACGAACGACTCAAATTCTTTATAATAATATCGTTAGTTTGAGATTTCTTTTATTATTATAGCGATTGATTGTTATACAATTCATAACGATATTTGCTATTTAAATAAATTATTATAGGCAAAATAGATACATATAATTTTAAAAAAAAAAATATTGTTTGTATTAATTTAATTGGTTTCAAGATCTTTCCTAAATAAATCGAGGTCTTCATTCTTGATGTTATTATAGGTAGGAACTTTAAGTCTCATCTTAAACTTAATCATATTTTGTATAGAAAAGGAAAATTGTTTAATGATGAAAATATATTTTTCTTTTGACATATGGTGTACTAAAATATTTGATCAAAATCTCTTGACCAATAATTAATAATTTTTGAGATTATATTTCTTATCAAAAGATAATTGTTATAAAAGAGTAATTTTATAAATAACATACTATTATATAGACGATTGTTATACCTATAGGTAAAAAATTGTTATAAAAAGACAAAAATATAATATCAAAATACTGTCAATTTAGAAGTTTAGACAAAATTAATTATTTTTTTCATTTTATCCTTGGTAATTGTTTATAAAAATTACTAATACGTAATTATGATTTATGACACGTAAATCAAGTAAATATTCAATGAAGAGATATTGCATGTATAAGACATAATTAGGGTACAATAATCAAACACCCCCTCCTAATTAATATTAGGTGTGTAAATGAAAAATACGACAAATATTTTAAGACGAAGTAGACTAGAATATAAAAAGTCCAAGTGAGAAGTTAAAGTCGGTTTGACCAACTTAAAAGCCCATCCAAACGGGCACTTACTCTCTCTTACAAATGAAAAAGTGAAACAACAAAATATTACACTAAAAGTTCAACATCCAATCTCTTTTTATGCTTCATCTTTTTCTACAGATTGTCATACCATCACCAATAGGCACCTTAACAAGGCAAGATAAATGATATCAGAACTTCATTCCAAATGAAAAAATAGAAACAGAAAAATCCCAGAAGAAGAAAGAAACAATATAAACTCATGCTTACCATACTGATGTCGACGCGGTTATCCTTCATCAAGTTTTCATTAAAGTTTCTAATGCTAAGAGTCTTGGAATCATTTACCTGATAAGAAGATATCAGTTAAAGGTGAATCATTTTCTGGAGTTGACAAACTAGGAAACTGATTTTTTACCAGTGGATCGGAAACTCTTCCATGCCATAGGACATTATCGACTACAATAAGACCTCCGATTCTCACCTGTGAAAGGGAACGGCTTTTACAACCTCAAACTGCCAGGCCTAATAAACAATACAGTGATTTTAGACGTGCAACGCACCAGTTGTAGCAGCAACTCAAAGTACTCTTGATACATTTTCTTTTCTGCGTCAACAAATGCAAAATCATATCTGCATAGAATTGGAGTTAGAAAGTGAATGACTTTCCTCTTTTTGTCTATGTCACTGAAGGGACAACGAATGGTTTCTTCTAAATATAAATATTCGAGACATCTGAATTTGTTCTTCACTATGACAGATAGATTGATAGCTACTGCTGTTTCATCAAGCCATCAACCTTCAATGTCGAAGTAGTGCAAGCGAGGGAAGTTTCTCTAATAAGCGTTATAGAAAGAAAGTAACTTAACTAGCAAAACGGGTTTAGTATTGTCACATTGCATATTTTTTTTGATAACCGAGAAATCCGTTTGTGACCCACCCTTTGGACCAATCACAGCCTTCTAAACTCGGTGGATAATGGGCCCGCCCCTCTACCCTTCTCCACTTAAATACCGGGCTTCGCTTTGCATGGTGTGGGGATTGAACCTGCGACCTAAGCCACAATCCTCCACCTTTTGCCACTTGAGCTAGGCCTTGGGGGCCACATTGCATATTAGAAAGTATCTTTATCCAACCATACTCCATGATAGCTTTTTCAGAATGAGGTATCTGACTCGAAAATCACATCTTTTGTACCTCATAATGGTGCTAAGTTTATCTAGAAGCAGTTGCTAAAAAGGAAAGAAAAATAATTCTATAAGAGTTTCCACTCATAATGGCGGAGCTAGGATTTTCACTAAGGAGATTCAAAATATAATAATGTAAACATACAACAAAGCCACGGGAATTCAACATCTATTACATATACAAAAAATAATTGACTTATATATATAGTTTACTTTCCTAGCAAAGGGTGTTCAGATGAACCGCCTTGCGCCCCCCTAAGCTCTGCCTATGCACTTACACATAGAGTTGACAGCAGATTTACATGCACATTTTTAACAAAAAAAGCAAAAAGTCGGCAACTACACAAAAAATCGTCCTCAGAAAGATATTTACCTGCAACTTTCACCATTTTGAATCAAAGACTTCAAAGTATCTGCTGCTAGACCATGTCTCACGTCCACCTAATGACACAGTCAAACCATCAATGATATGAATATCAAAGACATTTAAGCACATATTTATCGTACTTCACCCTAAACAATGATGAATAATGATAAGTCGTTACAAAATGAGAAATATAGTTCACATTTCAAATTTTATGTTAGGCAGCCATTAAAAACCCCTAGAAAGTTTAAAATACTCTTAAGTAGAAGAATTTTAGCAGATATAGAATTAATAGAGAATATATTTGCATGCTTAGCCTCCATAAAAGAGAACAGTACTGACATGAGATTGAACAGAATTTTAATGCACGGATGCAGACAATTCAGATAAGTAGACTCGGTCTTCCAGGAAAATAGCATGAGAGATGAGGATATATGACATAGAATTGGAAAAGAATGGTTGAGAGATGCTATAGCAGTGTATGCAACAGAAGATACCTAGTAAAATGAATATCAAGTTATACATAATAATTTTGCGACTAGCATGTTATGCGAGAGCAAATTTGAAGCCTCTAAGGTCCATCATATCCACAAGATATGTGTTATGAAAATGTAGATATCAAAGTGGATGTGGAAGTACATACAAAGTTGGACAAGATTAGAAATTATTACGATACACAAAGGTGGACGTATCACATAGAGAAGAATAAATTATGGATTGATGCCTGAGATGGTTCAACTATGTCTTAAGTAGACCTCCAAAAGTATCAGTCCATTGGTGCACCAATATGGTGATTGAAGGTAATAAAAGAGACGACATAGACCTAAAATCACATGTGGAAGTCATCTAAAAAACTCTTGAGTTTCTATGGATCAACAGGACTTACCTGAGTACAGAACAGAACGTAAAACAAAAGATTTTAGGTGATATCATCTAGTTGGATTAAGCCTTGGTTGATGTTACTCTTAAATCAGGTCCAGGTAGGATAAGTGTGAAATATAGAAGCTCTACTTTTTGAAAGCCCTTGATTTTCCTTAGAAGAAATTCTTTTACCATTATTGGAATATGCCAGAATACTGAAACAAATATAGAGAGTCCATATAACAAATCCCACTTAGTTTGGAAAGGTGGAATGGTTAATTGATGGATGGATGAATAATAAGGTCAACAATTACTTCCATTTTTAGTAGATTGCATCTTATGATTCATATGGAACATATTTTTCTGAAGTCATTATCTCTCAAGTATAACAAAAAGATTACATCTTATGAATCACACAGGGAGACACCAGAATCACCTTATGTGACACACCAGCTCGGTCATAATATCTTTTTGCAACCTCAATTACTTTGCCATCTCTTTCACAAGCAACTAAATGACCTCCTTCTGGAAGGACCAGGGCAACAGCCAAGGATGAATATCCCTGTGGGACAAGAATGACTCATATTAATGACCGATAATACAGCCAATTAATAGAAGAGGAAAACAACACTCAATGTACTAAAAGGCAATATAAATAAGTATCATCACTGACAGAAACCTGAAATTGGTTGTATACAAGGTCAATCATTATACTGGTCAAACACACGCAGTTAAGGATTTTTCCTAATGCATGTGTGCTTCTTTGCTTTCTTACCTTTTAGCTTTCTATCTTATCACATTTCAAGTGAAAGCAAAAACAGGAAACATATTCCTATATTGTCGTTTGGCATGCAAGATAATTATCCGGGAAAAAAATTTCCCATATTATTCCGCATTTGATAGCACAACAGATAGGCTCTCCTCCAGGTTTCTATCCAACTTTGAGGGATTACTGTATCCTGGACAAGGGGTAAGGGACAGATTGCAATACCAGGAAAGTAAAGTAAGCTAGATAAGAACTTCAAATAGCAAACACTCACAAGCAGCGGAAGAGTTCTGTCTCCTTTTTCCTATTTTGTTCTTTATCCTTCGTCCACAAATGACCCAATTACCCTCATACTCCATCCTACATGAGCCTTCTGTCATGAGTCCCTCTATGAAGCCCTCAGTCGAGAACCTCCTCTATAATGAGATCCTCCTAGCATGCGTTCTATACTCTCTCTCCTTTTCTTCCATGGCGGAAAACTCACCCAGCAGCCAATATGCTATAACATTTTCTTCCGTGACATTTTCGGGCTAGTTTTTCTCTTTAGGCACTTCACCTCTATAAGATCCACCTTATCTCTATACTCTTCAACACAAATAGTCCTACGATGAATACTAGGAAATATTTGTCCCTTCATGTACATCTGAAAAATTTAGAATGATATAGAGAAGGTACAAGTGAAGATCAAGTTCCCTTCCTCTCACCCTCTTTCTTTAGATTTTTGTTACTTTTGACACCAAAAAGACCAACATAAAGGATTTTTTTTGACTAAAAAGTACCTACATAAAGGATAAGAGAGGTGCAAACTCCAATCTTGTCCATACTAAAGTACGACAGAAGAAGGTGCACATCATCAAACACATCCAGTGCCACAAATCTAATTTATTCAATACATTGTTGTCAACTAGTCTAGGTAGCAAACACATTTCCAAGATTTTGGCATTATAAATTTGCCATTTGAGTGACTTTTGCAACATAAGTTGTGAGCAACGTGTCCACATATATTATTTTTTTTGATGACAAGGGAAACCCGCAACCGCTACCCTTTGGGTGCGCACAGGGTAAAACCCCCGCTCCTATGCAATAGCTCGCAAACCACATAGGAGGGGTAACCCGCACTAGGCAAGCCTGGTGCGACGAGCTCGACCCAGAAGGCAAACCCCTTGCTTTCGCTGGCAAGGGGTTTCGAACTTGAGACCTCCAACATGGAAGTCCCAAGCTCAAACCACTGGGCCACCCCGAAGGGTACGTGTCCACATATATTTTAAGGGAAAGTACCAAACTTTTTTTTTGAATAGGAAAGTACCAAACGTTTAATATGAGGTAAGAAAACATTAAGGCAAAAATATAAATCATGTCGATGAGTATGAGTTCATAATGTAGACTTACAGTATATGTTCCCACTTCAATGCACCTTTCTGCCCCAAGAATCTGGACGAGCATAGCAAGTAGTTGTGCTTGATCCGGTGACACCTAATACTAAGAATGGCAGTTAGTCAATATTGAAGTTTAGAGTATCTGTCAATCTCCTCATGAGAAAAATCATCACCACCAATCACTGCCCTATCTTATATAGAAAAGTTGTAAGCCAATAATATAGAAGGGAAAATAAAGAACCAGTTCACCTTCAGAGACTTTTGCAGAGGGAGCACATTATTCCCTCAAGGAGCATAAAAGAGGAGAATGTGAACTTTCAAGACTTGCAATTGAAAGAGAAAAGTTTCCTCCCCATGGCCCCATGCATTACTATCAAAGTGCATGCTCAAAAAACTCATCACTTAACAAATCCTCTTCCAGAAAACTATAACCATATCTCATCCACTCCATTATATGATGAGTGACTTGGATTGTCTTCATTTAAAGTTACAAAGTTTCTTCAACTCAATCTAGAGAGTCAGTTTTGCACATATCCACTTGAGTGAATTACAAAGGATAAACTTATACAACCACTTAGTTCTTTTTATTTTAGTCAGACTCAGTCAGTTGTTATGTGCCGTAGAACCACACATCCAATAAGTTCAGAGGGACCAAGGGTCATAACAACATCCGTAAATAACCTTCTTCTGGAAATGGTCCTTAGATTTTTCAAGTATGAAAGAGACACTTCGTAATTAAATACAGAAACTTAACAGGTTCCTAAAGTTTTAGACCAGAAAGAGATCATGTGCATGTATCAAAACCATGAACAGTGGGACAGCAGAACAGCAGTAATGTATAACTTACTTAGGAGGGAGGTAAAGGAATATAACAGTTAGCAAAGCCTAGGCTGATGGATTACCTGCATCTGACTGCCTCGCATTGTTGCTGTTTCCTCCCTAAGTTCACGCAAAATCTGAAATCCAAACAAAGAGAAAAAAATGAATACCTGATAAAGTCTCCTTCCTTTATTTTTCTTTTAATCTTTGTTTTCCCCACGTTTGACTCTCTTCTCAAATTACTATGGGATTGCAACCAGAGCATTCACCTTTGGTTCTCTAACATTGGTCAATATGTAGTCATACAGTGGCGAATCAACACTTATAATCTGTTTACTACCATATCTAACATCACTTGCAACAGTAACTGGACTATCATGAAGTTTTGATGCCTGAAGCTGACAAAAGGAGAGAGCAGTTGCGGAAGACACATGCCTCGTCAAGGATAACACATCTGTGTGGTATATGGAGGGAATGGAATGGCCATTAAATTTAGGTCGAAATAATGCAAATGAATTGGTGTAGCTAAGCACCATCCGATTGGACATAGGAGAAGCAATCAACAGCCAATAGTCTGTGGGAAAGTTTAACTACCTGCAAAAGAACAAATATAAATGGAAGTGCTTAGGAAACTAATTTGATGCACTCAGTTAGCTTCTACAACATAAGGCCTCTACTTCTAATCATCAAGCAAGTGCAACTCATGCAACTGTATATGGAATCACAATTTACATGGTTTATGGTTGGTGTTCCTTAAACAAACTTTGTGGATTTATATGTAAAGTTCTTAGAATCAAAATCTTAGGTGGGTTTGTCTTAAGAAATCTCATGGTCAGACTGTAGGTTGTGAGATCTTACCAAAGTAGATAAACAATGACATTTGACTAACTTGAAATAAGTCAATAACTATTAGAAATGAGTTAATCCAGTCTACATGGGTAAAAAGAAAGTCCAAATATGATAATGTAGTGCGGAAGTAAGAGTAATCGTAAAATATGTTTCTTACAACTAGTAGATGTCCCAAAAAGCAGAGATAGACACATGGGTCTCTATGAGGAGGCAAAATGATTTGCAATACCATTTAAGAGCGAACGAGAAGTGGATTCTATTGTTTCATCTTCCACTTTTTCCTAACGTTGAGTTTGTTGACAAGGTGCTGCAGATCATTTTTGGAGCAAAGATGCAGACGGAAGTTAACTCATTCCAAAATGGTATGACTGGTTAACATAGCTGAACCTCCTGCAGTATATTCTGGAAGACTTCGAGGGTGTTTGGATTGGCTTTTCCAAAATAGCTTATAAGCTATAAAAGCTATAAGTTGGTCATACACAACTTTTAGCTTTTAGCTTATGTTTGTACTTTTTGGCCTAAAAATAAGTGCTTAAAAGCATTTTTTTATCTTTCCCAAAACCACAAAAAATAGAAAAAGAGCTTAAAAGCCAAAAGCACTTAAAATAAGTCAATCCAAACACCCTCATCATTAAGTAAAGAGACAACCTTTTGCAAGGAAAGCTGCATTGGAAGCACCTTTGACCAGTGACAACCGAAGAAAGAGGCAAGGGATCCATGTTTAGTCCTGCATCTTTTGTTAAAAAGGTAACCATATTTTAACACATTGGCGATGGACTTTTAAATATTGGGATTTAGTTTTTTCTCTTAGAAGCATGGATAAGGTAAGATCCAGCCAGTTAAGCTATAATCTTGACTTGGAACAGTTCAGCCATCGGAAAAATACATGAGAATTTGGAGAATATCTGGTCTGAACGAATAGAAGGATATTACTGGGGGAAGATTTTTCAACATCAAGTTTCAATCACTCTGTATACTTGTAAGTAAGGATACAAATCCCTAATCCCAGATTGACCACTATTATTTTCTGGAAAAGTTGAGCTTGTAAAATTGACTATTTGATGTATTTTGTGTAAGCTCCATACAGTCATACCCTAACTTTGTACAACTTCAGGAAATCCCATAGTGCCACTGTCCTATTAATGAAATTCTCATTAGCAAAATTCCTTCACTCTTGGTTATTTGACCTGGTATACTTTCTGCCCTCTTAACTATTGTCACTAATGCACAGTTGTCACGACCCGATTTCTCGAGTCATGATGACACCTACTATACCCTACCAGTAGGTAAGCCAACCCGCAACCTAGAACATCAAGCAATGAGCATAAGGGCAGAAACTAGCGAAAACAATAATCTAAACAAGGACAACAAGGCGGAAGCAAACCAAATAAATAAAACCTGAACGAACCCCCATAAGCCCGACAGGTACACAGAATAGCTAAGTCTATTGAGAAAGAAGAAAACCGGGATCCCAACCCCAAAGTAACCAAGATAATCCATCAACCTCCACCCAGCCAACAGTGCACTCCCAACCCAGCTAGAAAGAGTGACCCCAGGGGGCACCCAACCAAATAGTCCACTCCCAGCCCAGCTAGAAAGAGGGACCCGAGGGTGAAGTTGATATCGCGAGTCGTCATACTATGCAGTCAGCTCCCAGCCCAGCTAGAAAGAGTGACCCGGGGACACCCAGCCAGCAGCACACTCCCAGCCCAGCTAGAAAGAGAGGCTCGGGGATGATCGCCGAAGGTACTTAGTAGGCACTCTAAGTAGATGCAGGTCCCAGTACCAGTTACCAGCGGTGATTAGTTCCAGCCTTCTTTTGCAGCTGTGACTCGGAGACAAAGGTGAGCACTTGGCGTTTTGGGTTTGTCTTGTCTCTTTTTGTTTTAGCTAGTCTTGTTGCCTTTGAGACACGCTTTGCTGTGGTCCACTTTTGGGACATGTACTCTTTATTAGATAGCTCTGTACTAGTGACTTCCAGGTTCTGGGAGGGATTTCTGTATATATTTATTTTGGTTTGCTTCTACCTTATTGTCCTTGTTTAGATTATTGTTTTCGCTAGTTTCTGCCCTTACACTCATTGCTTGATGTTCTGGGTTACGGGTTGGCTTACCTACTGGTAGGGTATAGTAGGTGCCATCATGACTCGAGAAATCGGATTGTGACAGCAGTATACAAAGATTGTTACGGCTAAAACATGCAAGGCCTTTGGGGTGAACGTAAATGGGTTCGAACATGAGATCTTGGAGATGATCTTACGTATGGAGTAGAAGAGAAAATTACAACTTCAGCAACAAAGGGAGAAACAGAAAGACACAAAAAATTCCAAGGAAAAGGGGGATGGTGAGTTGGAAAATTTGATTTGCTCAGTCAACTATGACAAAGGGGTCCATAATGAGGGAGAAAGAATCATGAAGGGTAAGAAACTCAAAGCATTGTCCGAATGGAAGTGAAAATCATAAGTTGAAATGTGCGGGGGGTTAACGACAATAAAAAAAAAAGACAACATTAAATCGTTGGTCAAGAAGTGGAAGCCAGATGTTTTATGTCTACAAGAAACAAAATTGAAGAATGGTCTATTGTTATAGCAACACAGATTTGGGGATCTAGATGGGTCGGCTGGATGGAATTTATATCATACGGAAGGAGCGGAGGTATCAAAATATTCTGGGATAAGAGGCAATGAAATCACATAGTTTTTATGAGAGGCACATACTCTATCACTGCAATGTTTGAAGGGTTACAGGGAGATCTCAGATGGTGCTTTACTGGTGTATATGGGCCACATTCAAATTGGGAAAGAACAGATTTTTGGGATGAATTAGCTGATATTAGAGGGTTATGGACTGATCACTGGGTAGTTGGAGGAGACTTTAATGTCAGTAGATCGAACATGAAAGGTTTAGTTGCATTAGAAGATCAAGAGCAATGAGGAACTTTTCAGATCTTATTCAGGACATGGAGTTGATTGATTTACCTCTTCAGGTGCTCACTACACTTGGTACAAGAGTGAGGATTCAACTCAAGCCTCCAGAATAGATAGATTTCTGATTTCTACCGACTGGAGTGACAACTTTGGAGCTGTGAATCAGCTTGCCTTCCCAAAAGTAACTTCTGATCATAGACCCATAGTATTGGAGAGTGGTGACTGGTCTGCTAATCCGTCATACTTTAAATTTGAGAATATGTGGTTACAACATGATGGATTCACTGAGAAAGTCAAAGAATGGTGGCAGAGCTATAATATTAATGGTTCCCCAGATTACATACTAGCTCAAAAACTGAAACACTTGAAAAGGGATATCAGCAAATGGAATAAAGAGGAAAGTGGAAGTCAGGGCAAGCAAAGCGTTGGATGAACTTCTAATGCTTGAGCACGCAACTGAAGGCAGAATGAAGACTCAAGAGGAAAAATCTCAGATTTTGAATCTGAAACTGGAAATTCAGAGGTTTGGCCAAAGCAGAGGAGGCCTCGTGGAGACAAAAGTCCAGATGTTTGTGGTTGAAAGAGGGTGATTGGAATATGCCCCTCTTCTCTATTCAGCCCCACTTAAATACAAAAATTCAGTCAACAGTAAGGTTCTAGCTCGTGACGTGCGCTATACTCAAGCATCCAGCGTTGCATTCTTACCTCTAAACCAAATTCATGATGAGGGACAATCATTTATCTGCCTGGTGAAACATTTCTTGCAATTATCTCGTATAGGTTCCTATTCGTCTTTCTCGTCACCCATACACACCTACCAAGTTTCTATAGCTTTCCACCACTAACTGTTCGAACCAGGAATTTACACTACTCAGACCATTGATTTTTCACCATAATATCTTTTTTTTGATAACAAGGGAAACCCGCAGCCGCTACCCAATTTGGGTGTGCACAGGGTAAAACCCCCGCTCCTATTCAATAGATCGCAAACCACATAGGAGAGGTAACCCGCACTAGACGAGCTCGACCCAGAAAGCAAACCTCTTGCTTTCGCTGGCAAGGGGTTTTGAACTTGAGACCTCCAAGTCTCCAACATGGAAGTCCCAAGCCCAAACCACTTCACCATAATATCTTATCACCCATCTATTCTACTTCCCCTTGTATAGCTTCCAGAAGCCCGGCACCTACTCCACGGTTTAAAACATACCTTCTGGCCAATATAAAATATGTCATAGGGTACCTACTACCTAGATCCTTTATTTGTAGTTCTTGCTTAATTGGTCTGGGATCAGGCAAAGCTATATGACAAGCCAACTTTCTATACAATCTTAAACTTTATTTACTTTAACAAGCCTATAAATTATCATCAAAGTGCTCATCAGAAGCGGAGCTAGAGTACAGCTTACAAGTTCGGCCGGACCCAATAGCTTTGGTCCAAATCCTGTATTTTGTCTTTAGAAATCCACTGAACATGTACAATTTATTAACTTAGAACCCAATAACTTAAAATTGACTAGAATCCCAAACCCATAAGCTTCAAATCCTGGCTCCATTCTCATTCCCTATCTGATAGCCACTGTTTATTGAAAAGGTTAAAAACATCATTTCTACCAACATAACCACACCTCACCCCTACTTGGAAGGCAAATAAGCTATTTCCGATAGAAAAAAACAGTCCAAAGCAGTACAGAGAAAAAAATAACAGAAATGAAGACAGTCATATCAAAATAATATAGACAACCAAAACAATAGTCATTAACAATATAAAATGATAATCAAAGTAGGAAAAAAAAACTCAGTCTTTAAATGAAATGTTCAAATAAAAAGAACCCCCTTTTCTCTTCCTGAACTCAAGTTACTCTATTAGTTCAAAGATTAAAGTAAATGAAAACAGGATTTGTATGATGTAATACTAACTAACAAGCAAGACAAAAACTTTATTCAACAAAAATCAAAGTGGAAAAAAAAATACTTTTAACCCACAATGGAACATTACCCAGAAAATGAAAATGAAAATGAAAGAGAAACAGAGATATTGACAAACCTCAAAGAAATCTCTGGCCAAATTAGCCTAAAAATGGAGTCTTTATTTTCTGCACTTCACTTCTCCCTTTAATAGCTTAAAAAAAAGGAATACAACAAACATCTAATATCTATCCTCCCAAACTTTTTAAATGGATGAGTCTTTTCCTTAAATTTAATAGTATCGAAATGATTTATATTCTTTTTTTAATAAAATTATGGAGTTTTAGATGATCTTTTTAATTTACATAAAAATTTAAAAAGAATTCGGGCCGAATTGTAAATATATTTATATATTAACCATATATTAAATTTAATATATAAATATATTTTATAATATTTTTCAAAGATAAACCTAGATCCGGAAAACAAACCGATATGATTTGGATGGTTTTATAATATCTAATTTTAGTTAATATATTATTCTTGTTATCCTCATTTATATGACTTTTTTTTTTTCAAGAGTCAAATAATTTAAATTTGATGAGAAATTTATACATAAACTTATTTGAATCTCAAAATTCGAGTGCCACGTAAACTTGACGGAGTGTATATTAATTTTTTTTATATTACAAAGAGAAAAATAATTTAATTTTTCTTCCCAAGTTCCCATCGTCCCTGAAGAAACAAAAGAAGCCCTAAAACCTTAAACCTCCAAGAAGCTCAACAATGGCGACAACCACAAAGCTTCTTCAATTCCGCCCGAAACTCAAACACTTTTCTGAACCAAAACTAAAGTTCTTCTCTTCTTCTTCTTCTTCTACATCAAATCCGAATCCTGAACCCACCGAAACACCTACATCCGAGCCCAACCAAACGCCTACATCTAAACCATTCTCTTTTTCATCTATTGTCAATAATCCCCAAAACCCATCTTCACAAGCTGCAGCTTTTGACGAAGTAAGAAAAAGCCTTGCAGGATTCCGTAGCCGTTCTGGTTCAGCACCATCACCGCAGTCATTTCAAGAACTATATCAAAGAAATGTCAATAATGTCAGGTCTGAAGTTCCTTACAATGCGAATCAGAGACCACCCCCAACTGGAAATGTTGGGTTCAATGCTATTAGTGCAAGCCTGCGTAACTTAAGCGTGAATAACAACTACAATAACAGCCAGAATGAGAGTAAAGGGAAGTTGTATGAATCGTTATCACTTTCGCGATATACGGAGAGTTTTAAGTTGAGACCTGATATGGGTAAAGATGTGAAAAGGTCGGGAATGGTGATTGGTGGGAGTGGGAATTTGCCTGCATCTTTTTATCGGAAGGAGATGATGAGGGATAAAGAGGGTGATAAGGAAGGGATGAAGATGGAGTTAACTAGGAATTATAGGCATGGTGAATTAGGAGAGAAGTTGAAAATGTTGAGGCCGATAAAGAAGGAGGAGAAAGGTTGGTTTTCGTTGCATGAGTTGAACGACAGATTGATGAAGGTGAGGGAAGCTGATGAGATTGAGAGCAAGACGATGGTAGCTGGTGTCGTGTATAAGGATTTGAAAGAGTCTCTTTATCTAATAAGTCAGAATGGTGATTCAAAGCCTAAGAAGACAATGAGTGAGTTTTTTTTAAGTGCAATTTCTGTGTTTGTTTATATATTGGATTATATGAATATCTGGTGTAGAACCATGTATACTAAATGTTATGCTGTGAGTGATCTAGTTAGTATTATATTAATATGTAGTGTGTTCAACTGTAAACAAACAGCCATAGGAACTTGAAGCATAAACCTTGTGTCTTGGTGAATAACACCACACAGCACACACATGTGTATAATGTTGAAAGAAATGCAAGTGTAGTTGCACCAGGGGTGTGGCCTAGGGGTCAATAAATGAAACGAGAATCATGGGAGACATTGTTCAAATCCTATAGTGAAAAAATTGCTCGGTGATTTCTTCAATATTCCTAAGCATTGGGGGGGAGGGGATGAGCTATTTGGTGTCTGTGCTGGTAGGATTTAGTAGGCACCCCATGGAAAAATTGAGGTGCACAAAAGCTGGCCGTACAACCACTATCATAATTATAAATATAAACGACAATATGTTTGTGTAGCTATTGTGGTAATAAGTATTTGGAACTATTTGAGGTCATCTACTGATTGATTCATTGATTCTGATGCATATCTTGTGAGTATATTTTTTTTTTCTGATGATTCTTCTATAGGAACCCAGTTGCATAAGAGCGCCTCACGAAAACTACCATGGGTAGAAGAGTTTCTCGCAAAACTTTACTCATAAAATGTAACATTATTGTGGAAAATGTGCAAAGCCTTCACACTGATTTTTTTTTGGTGAAGTAATTAAACTATATTAGAAAGGCATCAAGGAGATGCAAAGTTACAAGGAAAATAAAGAGCTGCATCAAAACAAAATAAACATGAAGCTAGCTGAGCAAAAAATTGTAAACAACCAAAAAAGAGATCCCCAAAATCCTACTATGCTAGAGTTAGGGAACTAACAAAATCCAAAAAGTTATCCACACTGTTTACCGGGAAAAGAAAGTGCCAACTGAAGAGAGTAGATAAACTTATAGCCTTGAGGGTGCTAGTGGGAATTGAGATTCCATCAAAGACTCTGCAATTTTTTTCTTTCCAAAGAGTCCAAAAAATAACTGCTTGGATCATCCTCCATAGCCTTTTCAAAGTCTTGCTAGCTCTCCATCCTATCCAACTAGCAAAGGCATCTTTAATGGAGAAAGGCATAACCCATTGAAGACCAAACAGTGAGTGGAAAAAATGCCACAAGTCAGTTGCTGTAGGGCAGTGTAAAAGTGATGGTTAACAGTTTCATTATCCTTCTGGCAAAATTTTCATCATCCCCTTCTTTCTAAGGTTATCTTGAGTTAGATAGGCCTTATGAATAGTTGTACAGGTAAAACAAGAAACCTTTAGAGGTTGTCAACCAGATATGTTTCCAGGGAAAAACATCAAGGATGCCATTCTGTGAATGCCAAAAATTATAGCTCTCCTTCATGGTATAAATCTCTTCCTTGGTGTTGCCCCAAAGTAATCTGTCTGTGGTTTGTTCATCTAGGTTGCATTCCTCCAGAGTCGTAGTAGTGAGAGGAGTTCATTGATCTCCCAGTCCTGTAAGTTCTTTCTGAAAATTGGGCTCCAAATATTGTCTACTTTGTATTAGGCAATTGTAGCATTCTTGTTAGTGGCTATCTAGTATAGCATAGGGAAGGACCCCTTCATTATAGTGTCACCAAGCCATTTGTCTTGCCAAAATCTTATCTTAGTCCATTACCAGCTTTGAAAAGCACTTTCCGGAAAAGTCATCTTGGAGACTGCTGATGTGTTTCCAAACCCCCTACACCATGTGTACCCCTGCTCCTCATTGGCCTCCAATGATCAAGAATGCCATGTTTGGCTTTGATTATACCCTTCCAGTACCCTGCCTCATTCTGTCCAAACCTACAAAGCCACTTCAAAAGTAAACCTTTATTATGTAGTTGTAGGTTCCTGATTCTCAATCCTCCTTGCGCCTTGGGCTGAGTGACTTTTTGCCATTTCTCCAAAGGGAATTTGTAAGTTTGGATGTTTCCTTCCCAAAGGAATCTTCTCCTTAGCCTATCTATTTGTTTTAGAACTGAGCTTGGCATTGGAAATAGAGACATACAATAAGTAGGAATGCTATCCAGAACATTGTTGATAAGAGTTAGTCTTCCTCCCATTAATAGATACCGAAATTGCCATGTAGCTAGTCTCTTTTCCATCTTTTCAATTACTCCATTCCAAATCTCAGGGGATTTGAATTTTGCACCTAATGGTAGACCCAAGTAAGTGGTAGGAAAGGAGCCTATGTTACAACTGAGTATGTCAGCAAATTTCTCTAGGTTTTGAACCTTGTTGACGGGGTATATTATGCTCTTGATCATGTTAATGTGAAGACCAGAAATAGATTCAAAGACCATGAGAGTAGTATTGAGGTTATAGACTTGCTGACTATCTGCTCCACAAAAAATCAGAGTATCATCTGCATAGAGCAAATGAGATACAATAACTGAGGTTGAAGGATCCTTGCCCAACGTGAAACCCTTGTATCCATTGTAGCTCATTTGCCTTTTCCAGCATTTGAGAGAGGCCCTCTACAGCCAAAATAAAGAGGAAAGGGGAGAGTGGGTCTCTCTGCCTTATTCCCTTTTGGGATGAGCAAAATCCCATAGGACTTCTATTTAATAGGATTGAGAACTTCACCGTTGAGATGCAGAAAAAAATCCATTTAATCCACTTGTTACCAAATCCCATTTGTTTTAGAATGTTGACCAGATAAGACAATTTAGTTGATCAAAGGCCTTCTCTATGTCTAATTTGCATAAGATCCCAGATTCACCACTTATGATTTTCCCGTCTAAAACTTCATTGGCGATCATGGATGCATCAGTGATTTGTCTGCCCTTCATGAATGCACTTTGTTGGTCTGAGATTAGGGAGGATACTACCCTTTTCTGCCTCTCAGCTAGGGTCTTCGCCAAAAGTTTGTTAACACTGCCTATAAGGCTTATAGGCCTGAATTTCTTTAGTTCCAGGGCACCTTTCTTCTTTGGGATGAGAGCAATGAAAGTGGCATTGCAAGACCTCACCATTTGACAATTCTGATGGAAGAAAGTGAGGGCTTCCATTATGTCAGATTTGATAAAGCTCCATGATTTCTGGAAAAAGGCTATAGTAAAACCAGCCAGGCTTGGTGCTTTGTCAGGAGCACAAGATTTGAGGGCATCTAATACTTCTTGTTCATTGAAAGGTACTTCTAGCTCCTCTTTTTCTTCAGCACTGATAGTGGAGCGTCCTTCAAAAACAGCCAAGGGTCTCCAAGCTTCTTCCTCTTTGTACAACGTCTGATAGAATTCTAGGATTCCTCTCTTTGTCAGCTCTTTATCCTCAATTAAATCATCCCCAATCTTCAATCTATCAATGCAGTTGCTCCTTCTATGAGAGTTGGTCATTCTCTAGAAAAAATTTGTATTCTAATCACCTTCTTTTAGGCTTTAGCCATAAACATCTTGACTTTTGTCTCCATGAGATCTCTTCAGCAATGGCGATCTGTTGAATCTCAAGTTTCAGTCATAGTGACTTCACATTTTCCTCGGGGGTGTGAGTTCTTTATTCAGCAATTTGGTCCAACCTTCCTAGTTCCATCAGTGCTTTGTCTTTGAGATTCAATCTGGCCAAAGACCTCTCTATTCCATTTGGTGATACCCTCTTTAGGTGTCTCAGCTTCTGGATCAAGATAAATCAGGAATGCCTGAAACATTGTAAGAATTCCACCAATCTCTCACCATGTAAGGAATCCATCTGATTATAACCACATATTCTTGAATTTGAAGTAAGAAGGTGAAGCTTCCCAATCCCCACTTTCCAGAACAATAGGCTTGTGATCAGAAAACACTCTAGGCAATGGGTATTATTTAATGGCATTGAACATTTCACTCCATTTGGGTGATATTAGAAACCTGTGAATTCTTGAGGCTTGTAAATGAGCCTCCCCTCTTGACCAGGTGAATTGAGCTCCTTGAATAGGAGGGTCAATCAATTATAAGTCTTGAATGGTATTAGAGAAGCCCATCATGGCCCTAGATCTTCTAGTACAGTTCAGTTTTTCCTCTTCAAATCTGCATACATTAAAATCACCACCAATTACCCTCAAGTCAGACCACAGACCCTGATAGCTGCTAGTTCATTCCAAAGTTCATCTCTTTCCGGATTAGTGTGAGGTCCATACACCCCTGAAAGAACCCATTTAAAATCTTCATTGAGGCTTTCAAATCTGCAAGATAGGAAAAAGATCTCAGCTTCAGAATCCACACAATTCCCGACCCTTTTATCCCACATAATAAGAATCCCCCCTTTGGTTCCAATTGCCTTGAGTTCTACCCAAGAAATCCACCTATTTCCCCAAACCTGTCTAATTAAAGAGCTGGTCCACTCCTCAATTTTGGTTTCTTGTAAACAAATGATGTCTGCTCCACATTTATTATTAATAAATAAGAGATTTCAAGGTGCATCTCTATTGTTTAACCCCTGTACATTCCAAATGAGTGTTTTGACTCTCATCTAGAATGACCCTTGTGAGACCTGCCCCTATCTTTCTTACCACTGCCCTCTTGAAGTCCCCAAGCCAACTTTTTCAGTTCAGCGTCTGCTTTGTTTTTCCCTTTCCTAGAGTCCTTTACTTTCTTCTGTTCTTGAATCTGATTTTTTCTCTTTTCCTCCATTCTGAGAACGATATCGAGGATTTCATGTTCAAAACTTGATTCATTCACCCCCAAAGCCTTGCAAGCTTTCATCATTGTCAATTTGGACCATTTGGAGGTTTCCACCACCACAGGGGTATCAACAGGCTGCAAAAGTTCACCACCACCATGCCATGGAAGAGGAAGGAAACAATTAAGAGATTGGGAAGGGATATCTGAGTCCAGCCCCTCATGATAAGAATCACAGAAGTGAGAAGAATTGGTGTTGCAAGGAGTGGTGGGCAAATTGATATGGTCAGCTTCATCATCTGCCTCTAATTGTGAAAGTGCATCATCAGAGGTTCCAAATCCCTGAGTTTGGAAGCTTGAATTTCCAATTCACTGGATCGAAAGAGGCTGTGTCGTGTGAGGAAGCAGAAGGAGGCTTGGAGATGGGTCAATTTTGGATGCAGTTGTTTTCCATTGTTGCGTCACTCTTGCATGCTGAGAGTTTTTGTTTCTGACTGGACCTTTAGAATGGAAGCTGGTGTTTAAATCACTGAGAGTACTTCTTTTAATGGCCTTCCCCTTGTCACTTGATATACAAATAACACCAAGCAAAGTACCAACTCTTACCCCTTATCACTCTGTGTACTATGTTATTAGCAGCATCATGATTCCGAGCATCTGTTAGGAATTCAATGAGGTCACTTCCAAGAGCTTCTGCAGCTGAATAACCATATAGTTTTTCAGCAGTTCGATTCCTGTGCAACAACGGCTCAAATTACATTCCTATAATGATAACTTTAATAAACACCAATTGAAGTCAAACTAAGACCAAATAAAATGTTCTTACCTGCACAATGTTACTTATAAAATGTAACATTATTGTTGAAAATGTGCAAAGCCTTCACACTGATATCAATGGTTTTTTGTGTTTATAGTATTTTTGCAATCTTTGTACGTTTGATTAGTGGACCAGTGGTCATTTTGCTAGTAACACACTTGGTTTTCTTATTCATTAGCTATAAGTGCAGTGTTCATCGAGGGTTAATCAATACTTCTGTTCTTTGATACGGCACTTAGATTTATATTTGGTGCTTCTTTGTAAGCAAAAAAATGCTTTTTTTAGAGTATAGTGAAAATATCTTTTATGATATATCATATGTTGATTACAATCACTTTTTACAGTTCAGAGACTTGATGTCTTGGGGCAGCTGGGTGGTACTCCAAGCTTTATGTTGCATCCACCAAAAGAACACTTGGTTGAAAAGGCAAGTAGCATTTTGTTCTCAAATATCTTTCTGTCAATGATTCTGCTCCTTCTAATTCTGCCCTAGGGTGTAGTTGAAGTGACGAAGGTGGAGGGACTTGTGAATTAGCCTGGTATTTAAGTAGAGAATAGAGAGACGGGCCCATTATCCCTGAGTTTTGAAGGCTGTGGTTGGTAGGGTTTGCCTCAAATGAACTTTTCAGTCATAAGAAAAATAGCATTTTACTTCTACTTCTTTTGTTCATGGCAAATGTCTCCTTCAGATAAACCCTTTTCGATTTCCAGCCTTCACTGAATAGTTTTAAGTAGCAAGCATAATCTTTCCTTTCTAGTAGAAGGTGGATGCATTTGGCTTAAAAATATAAAAGCAACACTTGAACTGCATTACAGCAAAAGGTGAAGGCAATCATACTAGTTATATTTTGCTTTACCATTTTAATAAAAAATAATGGCTTGATGGGAAGATGTATATTAGTCAAGACTAAATTACTTTTTGTCATATTGTGTATCAATTTGGCTTGTTCCTTTTAACTTTCGCAATCAAGAAAAAAAAATTTATAGAAGGAAAAGGGGAGGCACGGTTGATGGTGGTCTTGATTTGCAGCCATAACTTACAGAAACTCATCCTTGATTTGTTATTCTCTTATTGTTTCTTTTTGTTTGTTACTTTGTTTAGTACAACAAGTAGCATCAATGATCTGATTTCTATTGTCAATGTGTCTGTCATACATTTAAGTGAATGTAATAACTTATCGACAATTTTGAACAGTTCTTTCACCCAGATAACATGTCATCTGGGGAAAAAATGAAACTGGAGCTACAAAAAGTTAGAGATGAATTTAAAATGTCAGAGTCGGATTGTGGATCTGCTCGTGTTCAAGGTGCGTGATCTTGATTTATGATGTCATGTTGTTTAAGGTTGCTACTTTTTTGTTTTTACTACCTTTAGTTTCTAGTTTTAACTTCATGGCGTACAGACCTCAAGAGTTCAGACTGGACCATGTATACACCTATTAACTTCTTTTCTTAATATCTTGATGTCCTCACATGTGTTTCCTCTCCTTTTTTTTCTAGACTTGATATTCTTTGTGCTCTTTATGCTACTTTTAAGGTTCTGTTGGGCAGTTTGTATCTGGGTTTAATTTGGAAGTTGTCTTCTTTATTTCTACATATGAGGTTCTAGATACTTCCTACTTGAGCAGATTCTATGTTCTTTTTTCTGTTTCAAAAACTACCCAATCACTATTCCTTCATTGGGCATTATCCTCTACCCATAACACCACTTTCCAGCATTTTAATCAATGCTGATGCTTGTGCTCTGTCTTAATCTTCTATTTATGTCCATTGAAATAGTAGTCTGCTTTGACTTTTTCCTAATGCTGATTTAAATTTGTCCCCCTGGCTTTCTGATAGTAATTGTACAAATAGTGAAGATATATATCATGTACAAAGCAGTATTAATTTGGAGAAATGTGAAGGAGAAAAAGCCAAGAATGAAGACTGAAACACATGTCGCCATCCTAAAAGAAAAAAACAAAAAGAATGAAGACCAAGGAAATCTTGGAAACTGCCTTTCTTCTTATTACCACAATTTGGGTAATGATCCAAGTTAAGCAAGTCATCTGATGTAGTCAGTCAAACGCTTAGTCTGGCAGAGATCTTGCTGCCCAAGTATTTTCTTCAACTACTTCAGAAAGTACAGTGCACCCGAAAGAATCGAAATGACTAAAAAACAACATAACAGAGTGCCTGAATCTGAAAATAATAGGATAACTAAGGCCTCATTGTTTGCACTTACTGAAGTATTAGTTGAAAGCTTCAACTGAGAAAGGGTACAGCAGTCTATTAAGAGATAACCTTGCAACTAATGAAATACAAAACAGAGAGCTACTACATAAAGTTGTGACCCTTTGAAATCACTTGGTGAAGAACAACACAAGAAGAAATAGCTCCTAGGGTTTACTTCAAGTGGCGAAAGTTGTAGGACGTGTCACTTAGGTCATAGGTTCGAGCCATGTGCCATGTGAACTAAGCTTGCTATTTAAGTGGAGAAAGATTGAGAAGTGGACTTGTTTTCCCGAGTTTTGAAGCCCGCAATTGTCTGTTAGGGTTGGCCCCTAGCAGATTTCTCGGAAAACAGAGGGAGTATTAATTACAGCATAATAATAATTCTTTCATCTTTTATTCATCACATAAACAATCCATGCATTATAATCCCAGCATAACCAGTATGTGAGCCAAAACAGCCCCTAATGGTGAATTCCGGGGATTAAGCGAGATATTGCAATCTATTCCCTTTTTTGTTCGGCAACATGTGCAGAGAGACCTCAAAGTTCTTTGTAGATCTCCTGTCATCCAGCTTCTAATACCTTAATTTTGCTGTTGACAGATGTTATTTCTCTTGAACTTGTTAAAGAAAAACATATGTAAGGAAGTTGCTTGAATTTGATTTTGTTTAAAGTTGATACTCAAATGGAAGTTCAAACCACATATGTGCTGCTCCAATGATGTTTATATAGTTTCTTACATTGTATATTAATGTTAGCCTTTTTTTTGTTTTCAGTGGCTCAACTTACAACAAAAATAAAGCACCTATCTTCAGTTCTTCACAAAAAAGTGAGTTTTCTGCTGAATTGTACCCAATTGAGCATCTTGTGCAGGAATACTCATATCACGAAAACTCCATTTATAGCACATTGTTGGTTATTGTCATATGGTAAAGCATGATTGTTCTTGAAATGCCAACTCAGAGGGAAAAAAAGAATAGATGACACATTGGCTGTCGTCAATGAATTGCAAACACTTGTTGTATAAGATGGTCCATTATCATTTATCTATTATCTTGTCATAGAACTTTATTACTTTAGATTGTGAGCTGGTTATTTATAGGGATCTTTACATAAGTAGCTAGACGGATTTAGACGGATTCACTGTTTACTTTTTCTAGCTAGTATACATAGATTATACATGGTTATGCATGAATTGTTATATTATACACATCTGCTGGCTAATATTTTTTTTATACATTGTCGTCAATTATCATTTTTTTAAGGATAAGCACTCTCGTAAGGGTCTACAACAAATGGTTCAAAATAGGAAGAAGTTATTGAAGTATTTGCGAAGGACAGATTGGGACTCTTACTGCCTCGTTCTTTCTAAGCTTGGTCTCCGAGACAACCCAGATTACAAGTTCTAGACCAGCACGTATGACATACTACTTGAATGCAGTTTTTCTTTGGCAGTTTGCCGGAAGCTTTTTCCATACTAAAACTTCTCCTCTCATTTGGGGGTAGAGGCGATGAGGGGGATGAACTTTTGTTGTTTGGTTCACTGCCTCCCAAGGGAAGCTCATAACTGGTCTTTGAAAGGAGAGTCAAATGTAAGATACCATGTTTTTAATTTCTTTTTTCTTTTCTTTTTATAACGACGGTGTCTAGAATAACTTGCACGCACCACGACGTGTATGTATCTCTGTGTACCGGGGGCTTATGACATTTTTACCTTGTGATAGGTTAAGGAGTGAAATTAACAAGTGACTCAGTAATTGGTCTTCAAGAACCACAATATCTTTTCCTTGTTTGAATTGTAGTTGGATGGTGGCAACCTATGTTTGCTTAGACTCTTTAAAAATATCAACTGGTGTGTGTCGGATTCTCCAAAAGTAGTATATTTTTAGAGAATCCAACATGGGTGTGGCATCAAAAGTGAAGAGTCCGCACAACTTAGGTGGCAAGTTGATTGATTATTCTTTGCTTCAATAATTTCCTGGGATGAATTGTTCTAATAAGCTTCGCCTTTACTCTTAATAATATATTCTTGTGTTATTTTCTCCTCTTGGTTTTGATGGTTCGTCGAGAGGACATATGTTTGGTCCGTTGGGTAATTTTCCTTTTTTTGTTTCGTATTTAGGTAACGATACGATAACACAACATGTACGTGTGAATACACTCTTTATATAGATAACAACATACTTGTCAAATTGATAGGCATGTGTATTGAAGATTTAAAATTTATAAATTTCTTCAATCACTTCAAATTGATATATGATAATGATTGAATTCATAGTCAAATATTTAATCATATATTTTGTATTACCAACATGTTACTTTCTTTTTTGAACTAGGTGCAAATTTGTTAATTAAATGCGAAAGAAGGATAATTTTATTTAGGGAAAAGGGACAAATATACCCCTGAACTATCGTAAATGGTATGCAGATACCCTCCATCATACTTTTGGGACATTGGTGCTTCTGCCGTTCAAAAACTAAAGCATATATACCATTTATACTGACGGACGTACACGTGTCATAATCTTATCCATCGACTCGACATTTATCAAATATCGGATTGACGGAGAAGATTGTGCCACGTGTCCCTATTTAATCTTCCGTTAGAGTGAAGGGCATATATGCTCTAGTTTTTGGACGGCAGGGACACCAATGTCCCAAAAGTATGACGGAGGGTATATGCATATCATTTACGATAGTTCAGAAATATATTTGTCTTTTTTCCCTTTTATTTATACAAAACAACAATCAAAAGAATACATAGTTCTTAGCATATTACATAAAATGATATTTCACTGAGTTGTGGTGGAATGGATGGGGTTTCTTCATTTTTTTTAGAGCATCACTCCAAAAATAGGTCATCTAATGCATGACTCTAACATAGTCGGACTACAATAGAGATATCGAACATCAAATGTAATGCACAACTCTAACATAGTCGGATTCCAATAGAAATATTGAACATCAAATGGTAAAAGAAAAAAAAAAAAACATAGAGGGATATTTCTATTGAAATTTATCCCTCTCCTCTTTATTTTTGTGATTAATAAACACAAAACTTGATGGGCAAACACACCCTTATACTGTAATTTGGCATATTATTTTAGGGAATTTAAGCAAATATCTCATAAAAGCAAAACAATTACAAACATATATTCCTTTGCATACATTCATGCCCCCACTAAATAATTACACTATATACTCCCCACTAATTTCACTTAACTGATATTAATCAGTATCATAAATTGTATTAATATCATTAAGACTGATAATTTCGTTTAACTAATACTAAATCAGTAAATGCATACTGCATTGATATCATTAAGGTTTGACCAACTTATATATTTCTTCAAACAAATCCTAAGATTTACAAAGCAAAAATGATCATTATTATATTGTTGATACTAATTATAATCTTACAAGCATGTCATTATGGCTTTGAATTAATTGTGAGGTGATTGAATATTGTTCTCACTCAATAATAGGCGTATGTAGATTAACTTAGCATTGAGGTGTGTTTTAATATAAAACAGTGATAATTTAGATAGGTAAATGGATAAGAACAATTTTGAGACCAAATTTCAAACGGAGGGCAAAGTTGTTACATTCCAATAGTTGAGGGGCAAATTTGAATCAATTCACCAATAATAAACGTATATTTATTTAAAGGGAAGGCAAAATTGTTCCATTTTCTATAATTTAGGGGAATTTTTGACCTTTTCTCTTATTAAAATAGTTCATTAGTTTTTAAAAACATTTTTGGGCGAAACGAAAACGGTGAAGAGCATTTTTTTACTTAAGAAATGGACGGAGGGTATTTTTATATTAAATTTGGATTCACATAGAAAGTTCCATATTGGGGAGTAAAACACTTCCTAATAAAAGCGATTTTATACTCAAGAGAACTCGAACCCAAGAATAAAAGAATACTTATCATTCCACGGGAACCTCGTTGGTAGGTTTTGGTGCTTTTGTTTTGGTAGTTGGGTGGATGGTATATATGTAATGAATGTGTGTGTACTAGGTGAACAGTTTGTTTTGATATTAATTCTTGGATTTTGGTTGTTCTGAGAATTAAAATTCTCAAAGTTTATAGCAGGTTTGTTTGGCCATAAAAATTAAGAATGGTACCACAGAATCCACAACATTTGCACCTTCTTTTTTTTGGGCTTTCCGCTCAGTGTTCAGTACTCATATTGAAGCTCGACTTAATTTGGATTCGCGCCGAAAAGTCTCACATTAAGGCGTAAAGCGGTCTCTAACAAAGGTGGCTCTATACCCAAAGAAGCTCGAATCCGAGACCTTTTGGTTAAGGATGAAAGAGTACTTATCACTCCACCACAACCCTTGTTGGTTCATTATATTGCACCTACCTATTCAAAATTTTAAGTTTTCAATTGGATTACCCATTATTTTCTTGCACCAACGTTCAAAAATATGGTATACAATATTGTACAAAACTCCAAAAAATAAATTATACGAAAAAATTATATCGTAAGGCAAATATGTGATATGTATTTACTATAGAAAATAATAGTTCAAAAGAATTACGATTCATACCTATTGTTAAAATTTTATAACAATTTCTCTCTCCTCTCTCTGCTCTCTCGCTCACCTCTCTCCTGTCTCCCTTACATCTCTCCTCTATTTGCACTCTCTCCCCCCTCTCTCTCAGCTCTCCTCTCTTTGCCCTCTCCCCTCTCTCTTGCCACATCCTTTCTCTCTCAATACAAATACAAATAGTAAGCAAATGTTAACAATCAGCGATACAAATACAAATAGTAAGCAAATGTTAACAATTAGCGATACAAATACAAATAGTAAGCAAATGTTAACAATCAGCGATACAAATACAAATAGTAAGCAAACGTTAACAATCAGCAATACAAATACAAATAGTAAGCAAATGTTAACAATCAGCAATACAAATACAAATGTGATACAAATGATAATTGTCAATTATATAAAAAAAATCAATAATATTAAATACAAACACTCATGACAATAGATGAATACAAATACACACAAGGCAACAGATACAAATGGCAATATATGAATACAAAAACACACAAGGCAACCTTTATGGACTATTCAAAATTCTATGGACTATAATTTTTCCTATTTGTAAAAATTAGGCAAATGACTTAGTATAAGAAAGAAATTACTTCCTTTCCCTACTCTTTCATTAATTACCAAAAATCCCTTTTTTAGTGTTTTTCGGATACATAATATAGCAGCGCGGATACTTTAATTAATAACGGGCTGATACTTAAATTATTAAGTTGTTAGCAACACGGATACTTAATTAACAGGCGGATGCATAATATAGCAGTGTGGATACTTTAATTAATAACGGGCGGATACTTAAATTATTAAGTTGTTAGCAGCACAGATACTTAATTAACGGGCGGATGCATAATATAGCAGCGCGGATACTTTAATTAATAACGGGCGGATACTTAAACTAATAAAGTATCCGGTTAAGTTGAATTGGGGGAAAATAAGGGATTTTTGTATTTTAATGAAAGAGTAGGGAAATATTGAAAATAGGTAAAGAAGTGTTGTGTATTTAAGTAATTTTTCCTATTTATTATTGGACTATTCAAAATTCTAAGTCTCAAACTTCAAATAATATATTATAAGAAAAAACTTTGAAAAGTATAAGAAATATTTATAAATTATATCAAAGTAAATACCTTTATGTATAAAATAAATTTTAAAAATTATATTACAACGTCGGGTTGAGTTTTTTCCGTTTAAACCAAACTAATCGAAGGTTTCTCGGATTTTTTTTAATGTCAAATCAAATTGAATCACTAATCAATTTTTTTTATTTAACTTTACTTGTGGTTTATTTTGATTTTTTGATTCAGTTTTGTTCACCCATAATCAAAATATCCTAAAACGTTGAATTAATTAATAAATCAGACATATCCATGTTTTATTTATAAATAAATATCTGTGATTACTTGTTATTATACATTTTTTATTACACATAATTTTACAAAGATTCACTAATATAATAAATCACCAATAGTAGTAACTTATTATTTTTTTGATAAATTTTTCACATGCTATGAATAATTTCTTCACATCGAGCATGAATCTTTTTTACAAAAACTAATATCATTTATATCATTATACGTATAAAATATAAACTTGTGGACCATATTTTATATTGCGATCCATGACAGAAATTATTAGCCATCTTTGTCTACATCGCTGGCAAGAGCCTTTAAAACGAAGAAAAATATCATAAATAGCTAAGATATGAAAAATGTGGTCATATGTTTCTGTTTCTCTTTGATTGTTGTGGTCACCTAATTAAAAGTAGGGAAAAGTTTGATATACTTTTCAATTTTGTCACTTAGTGTTGATTGTCTTTTATCATGAAAATAACACATATATACCTCTATGTTACACAAATGACTCACATATATCTTTTTCCTACAACAGAAGTGAAAAAGTTATTTTAAATTTTTTAAATTAAAAATCAATAATTCATGTAATGGCGTATTTTTTTAACTTTCTTTGCTTCAACGACTAATTCGAAGATTATTTTGATGGTCAAATTTATCTTTTTTCACTAATTCTTTTATAAAATTAATATATATGCCCCAATTTTTTTACAGATACAAA